TTACCAGCTCATGCCCGGCGGTGGTATCCACATGTTTCTCGATGTGCGGGAGTGGGAAAGAGTCATTGGGACAGGCCTTGTTGAGGTCCGAGTAGTCGATGCACATTCGCCATTTCTCATTTTTCTTTTTGACGGCGACGACGTTGGCTAACCACTCCGAGTATTGAACTTTTCGCACAAATCCTGCTTGGAGCAGCTTCTGAACCTCTTCGCTGATGACCACGTCATGTTCTGCTGCGAACTCCCAACGTTTCTGCTTGACAAGGATGTAGTCAGGGTGGACGTCGAGGTGATGCAAAATGGTTTTGGCTTTTATTCTGGCATGTCGGCATGAGGTGCTGGTATGTCGCCCCCGCGTTCTTGAGTCCAAACGGCATCATGGTGTAGCAATATGAACCTTACGGAGTTGCGAACGCTGTTTTATCCTCGTTTGGTGGGTGCATTTGGATTTGATTGTACCCGTAGAATGCGTCCATGAAGCTTACCAGCTCATGCCCGGCGGTGGTATCCACATGTTTCTCGATGTGCGGGAGTGGGAAGGAGTCATTGGGACAGGCCTTGTTGAGGTCCGAGTAGTCGATGCACATTCGCCATTTCTCATTTTTCTTTTTGACGGCGACGACGTTGGCTAACCACTCCGAGTATTGAACTTTTCGCACAAATCCTGCTTGGAGCAGCTTCTGAACCTCTTCGCTGATGACCACGTCATGTTCTGCTGCGAACTCCCAACGTTTCTGCTTGACAAGGATGTAGTCAGGGTGGACGTCGAGGTGATGCAAAATGGTTTTGGCTTTTATTCTGGCATATCGGCGTGCGTCCAGGTGAAGTAATCCAAGTTCGCCCGGAGTAGTGAAATGACAACTGCGCACAGTGATGGATCGAGTCCCTTCCCGTTTCTCAGCTTCCTATCCGGGTTGTCGGCTGAGGTAAAGATTTCTTGGACCTCTTCCTCCGTTGCCGGGGTGGTTGGTGGCTCGTCGCCACATTGTAATTGCTACAGGATGGTGTGGGAGGGTGGGTCATTCATGGGGGCATTGCTGACCTCGTTTCCTTTGATTTCCACCGTGCTGCTTGCCATGAGGAACCGCAGGGATTGGGATTGGTGGTATGTCAAAGGGATAGATGCCATCGCGTTAATCTAGGGCGTTCCCATGATGGCGTTATGCGTCGAGGGGGTTCTGGAGACTAGGAAGGTCGGATCCTTGGTTATTGGCCTGGCAGTTACCGGGAGGGTTATTTCTCCTAGTGATCTCGTGGCTTCGCCATTTTACCCTACCATGGTGACATCTCTGGGAGCAAGGTCTGAGATCTATATCCCCATTCGGTGCGGGGTTTCCACGAAGAGCACATTTCTAGTGCTTCCGGTGTCGACTAGCAGTCGAGCTTGCCCGCCTCCCCTACAAGGGCTCTTTCTCCAAGTCGAGCTTGCCCTCGAGCGCCTGGGTTGAGATCCGTGAGGTCTGAAGTAGGCTAAAGGGGTAGATTCGCGATGGCGTTGATCATTTCGCGGGTCTCCGGGGCCTTTTAAGTGTCTCCGCTTTTCTTTTGTTCGAGCAGACGGGCCCGTGCCTTTTCTAAAAGAAGGTGGGTGAGTAGCCCGTTGTCTATGAGCTCTAGGATTTCTTTCTTCAGGGCATAGCACTCTTTGGTGGCATGCGTCTTATCCTTGTGGAACTCGCAGTAGTCGAGGTGCTACCGTGAGGGATCTTCCAGGATTCTCTTTCTGGGTGGGGGCCACTTGACAACGGGTCTGGTGGTTTTCAAGGCTTCGATCATTACCATTGGGGTGGCGTCAATCTCGAGTTCATCGAACTCCATCTCGATCTGGACCGCGTCACCTAATGCTGGGTTGGAGGACTTCTATGTGCCCCCGGAGACTTGCAGGCTCGGGGATCCGGAGTAGCCGTCCAATACTATAGCGACGTAACCACCTCTTTTGTCTGAATGTCCCCCAGAGGGTTCCTCCTGGTCCCTTCGTTGTCCCTGAGGGCGTGGTGCCACGGCAAGGATGTGGTCCGGGTCGCTCTCCCATCCGATCTGCCTATGTGCGTAGTTTAAGACATCTTCCATGGTAGAGCAATCATTCTTGGTTAGGTCTTCGTAGAGCTCGGAGCCCTTCAGGAGTTCCTTCCTAAGATGTACACCGCCGTGATTTCATGGCAGTCAGGTATCTCTACCCTGACGGCGTTGAAGCGGGTCACGTAGGACCAGAGCGCTTCCTCCGCCCCTTGGCTTACATCAAACAACTTGCCCATGCCCCGGGCAGGTTTCCGGCTGCTGGCGAACTGCTGGACGAACAGGTTGTGCAGCTGCGCGAAGGAGTCTATCGTCTTGTTGGGGATGCTGATCAGCCACTGCAAGGCGGCCCCTGAGAGTGTCGCACCAAACCCTTTGCACATGCATGCTTCCCTGATGTACCGGGTGACGCCGAGAACATTCTTTGTTTGTACTGAGCAATCGGATCGGTGGTCCATTCATAAAGTTTCGTCTTTCGGTACCCGAATTTCTTGGGTACTTTGGTTTTGGCGATGTCTTCCGAGAAGGGGGAGTCATTGTATTATTCCTTCGTTGTTTGGGTCACCCGCGAGGGTTGCCCTGGGATCATCGACAGTCGGGTGTCTATGTTTGCCATCTGCTCCGCCATCCTTTGAGCGATAAGCCAGTTTAGATTCAGCTGTCCCGAGGCTCGGTTCGTGGCATCTTCCGAGGCTCAGCGGCCTCCGACCTCGTCGAGGTGTGCAGAGTGATCTGCGTCTGCAGTTCCATGAGCGGTTGGCATTGCAGTGTCATGTGCAAGGGGGAACCTTGCAAACGGTCCCCTACGCTTCGGACCTGGGCGTAGTGGTGTGTTCCGGCCCATCGAGATCGTTGGACTGTCAGCGTCCAGGGGCCTCGTGGTGGCGTTGCCCGGAGGCATTGGCCTGTTGCTCTAACTGGTGGTTTCATTCCGTGACTCGCTCTATGTCAGCTCGGAGATGACAAACATTCATGTAGTCGAGCATTTTGCAGAACATCGGGGCTGGAGGGGCCATCCGGGGGTGTTGACTGGTAGTACCCCGTGCGTAGTCCCCTCGGATGCCTTGTTCCGGTGGCTCGGCGAATCGCTTCCTTCGTTCGACATTAGGCTTGTTTTTTCCCTCTCCTTCTAGCACCAACTGTACGGGAGCAAATTTCAGGATGCCACGTGGAGGGATCCCATTGGTTGTCTGAGATGCGGGAGAGATTTGAACTATAGAGGATGGGTTAGCCTGCAATGACGAGAGAGAAGAAAGAGATCTTCGGTAAACAGGAAAGAGGTTGCCCTCCCGATTACGCTTTGACGCTCTAGTCAGAAAAGACACGGGACTGGACGAAGCGTATTATGTCTACCGGAAGGACTGATTATGGAGGTGTTCTGTCGATTCGAAAGGATCCCGATAGAACTTTTGGGGTAGCGGTTATCGGTTGTAAATGAAGCTAGAAGATGAAGTTATCGTTCTAGATGTCTCTTCCTCTCTGCTGTCGAGAGGAGTGAGACTCGAGCTCTTGGATGGAGCGGATCTGATCCGGGGTTGCCTTTATGGTTTGCCTAGTTACGATGTACCCCAAGAACTTTCCGGAGGCCACTCCGAAGGTGCATTTGGCCGGGCTGAGTTTCATGTCGTACTCGCGGACTGTCTTGAAGCTGTTTTTCAGGTGTTCCAGATGCAGGTCTCGACTGAGAGTCTTGACAATCATGTCGTCGACCTAGACCTCTATTGTCTTTCTTATCTCCTCGGCGAACATTTTGCTCATGAGGCGCTGGTATGTCGCCTCCGCGTTCTAGAGGCTAAAGGTCTACACTCAATGACCTTTACAACTAAAGGTCTACACTCAATGACCTTTAATAATGCTCAGCTTATCAACTGATACATCAATCCTCCTTTACGCTTAGGGGGGGAGGTGTATTGAACTTAACATTTGAAATGATTTGGAAGGATTTGAGTTTTAATGAGTTTTTAGATGACTTGGTTGAATTATGGAAATTGTTATGATTTAAAATCAAAATTCTATCAAACTCCACCTAAAATCATGAGATTTTAATTTTTATATTTTTAACTAGGAAATTTCATCAAAATATTTTAAAGTCACTCCAAATTTCTTAAAATCCACTACTTAAATTATTTCTAATAACGATGAATTTGAAGATACATTTTCAAATCACTAGTTCAATAACACTGAATTTTAAACAACTTTTTAAAATTTGTGTTTCAATAACAAATAGTTTATGATTTTAATACAAATTACACTAAATTCTATTTTGAATACACCTCCCTAGAACTCGAATAGATACTTTCAATTAAAAAAGCTTTGCACCGTTTAGTGCCATCCCTAGAACTCGAATGGATACTTTCAATTAAAAAAGCTTTGCACCGTTTAGTGCCAGTCCTTAATTAGTAACTACTACGTATGGCTCCTGTGTGTCTTACTCAATTTAAGTGCCTATGATTTGTCTATATCTGTCGATTTAGATTGCAAGGACGATCCAAAACCAATACTCCATGTCTCCAACTCTTCAATAATATCAATAATGATTATTTTTGTTGAAATAATGATGACTTTTTATATCTATATATGTGTGAATGCGCTGCGTTTAAGCGTTTTATAGAAACATCTAAAAGACTAGTGGGGGATTGCCATTTATGGAGATTCAAAATTATTTACAATGAATCCAACAACCAACAATAAAGGGGCCCCGACGCAATTGATGCTCATCTTCTTCCCATTTTTATTTAATTATATCATAAATTTCCTTCATTTTCTTTGATAGAATACCCTTATTTTGGATTGGACAATGGATTATTTATTTTGACTGCTCTCATTCTCTCCTCTTCGCTTTCTTTAAATAGAGGGCATACAGAGTAACATTTCATTCATCACTTTCTCCATAATAGAAAAGAGTTTTATAAACAGTTGAAGAAAAATGGCTTCCAAGGCTTTTATTCTGTTGGGTCTCTTTGCACTTCTTTTCGTCGTCTCAGAAGCGGCCGCTGCAGCCAAAAAGCAGTCGGGTATGTAAAATTATTTTTTATAATTTAGTTCAGTTCTTCTACTAAAAAAAATGTTGGTGAGGCTAATCGAACCTGAACTAACGTACCATTTCATAGTTTCATCCAACTATCTCCGGAGTAGAACTGTCAATTGTTTGTATGTACATAGTTAAGTATGATGTTGAATCCTAAGTCAAGAAACACGTAAGTACGATGTTGTAGTCTCATTATACGTATCAGGACCATCTCAAATATTTAGAGAAAATTATCTTATGTTGTAAATATTCTTACAATATTATCATTGAAATTATATTTTCATATATGGACAAAAACAGTGAGGTCAGTGAGTGAGGAAACTGTGCAACCTGATCAATATGGTGGTGGTTACCATGGAGGACACAACGGAGGAGGATACAACGGTGGAGGACATAACGGTGGAGGACACAATGGAGGAGGATACAACGGAGGAGGAGGTTATAACGGAGGAGGAGGTTACAACGGAGGAGGACACCACGGAGGAGGATACAACGGAGGAGGCCATGGAGGAGGTTACTGCCGTCACGGCTGCTGCTACAGAGGTTACCGTGGCTGCTCAAGGTGTTGCTCTTACGCCGGAGAAACTGTTCAGACACAGCCCGGTCACTAAAACTATATAATGCATGGTTGTATCTATATATATACACTTGTGTGTGTATGAGTATAGGTAAACCAATTGTGCTTTTGTCGTGAAGTTAAGTGCCTCAGGTGTAATAAGGAGGCATGGTAGATTAAGAAGTGAAAACTATGGGAATAAAGTTTCATAATGAAATATCTCTGTGTTTGAGTTGTAATCTTCGTTGTTTCCATAATAAAATCGTTTCTAGTTTATGTTATTCTCTTTATGTTTTGCGTAATAGTGTTATGGCATTATACTTAGGTATAATTCTTAAGTTCGGAGAAAATATAAATCTTAATTATCATTTGAGAAGTTTTTTGAGTGAAAAAATCGGATGTATCACAACGAGAGTAAAAGTTAATATTTTCTATTATTGATTTGGTAATATGATATGACAAATTTTCTAAAGTCAACAAAATACTTCGATTGGTTAACTTAAAATTAATAAATTATTAAATTAAAACATAAACACACACATAAATTAATAAAAATGGCAATTACTATAATTTCAATTGCATAAAATATAATTACAAAAATTGTACAAATAAATATATATATTATATTTTATATAGGAAAAAATAGATCGTTGAGTAGGGTAATAAATATTAATAATATTGAGAGTGTGGTATATTATTATTTGTATATACTTTTTTAATATTTTTATATTGTACTTTTCTGGGTTTTACGTATATTTAATTTTCATCTCATTTTATTTCTTACCCTTTCTTAAATAAAAATTAATAATTTATATCATATTCATATAGAGTCTCATTGTAGATAGAGAATTTGATATTACAAATAAAACAAAAAATAATCCGATAAAAAATAAATTATAATCATATGAAATAAATATGAATAAGAAGTACAAGTAAAAATAAAAGTAAATCTCTACAGTTTTATTTTCTCGTAAAAATCTTCTGCTTTATTTTACAGAGTCATTTAAAAATTCTAAGTAGCAAATTTTATAATAAACACATGTGTGGGTCAACCATTATTATATACACACGCGTGCATGCCAACATAAGAAATTTATTTTCTTATTAAACTAATTTCAAAAAAAATGAGCGGAGAACTACTGGAGAATTTTATAAAATATAATTTCACAAATTTTATAACAAATATTTATTATAATTTTTATTGAGTTTTTTTATAAGTTCCAAACACAGTACATAAGCAGGAATAACTCCAACATTCCAATTAAACATGTGATCCCATATTGTTAGACGGTTTTGACTTGCAAGCCAAGTATTTTGTGGGTGGCATGGGTGAACCATACTCCATTATGCCATGGTAATTGAGTCGAGGTTTTCCGAGTTAGAATCCAAGTGTCTTTTGACTTGAACACTGGTCAAAATTTGACAGTCTTGTTCTTCCAAAACATTATATCCTTTTCATCACTCGGCTTCTCTTGCTGAATTGCCAGAGCTTCCTCTACATCATTTAGGCTATAATAAGATCATGTGGAATGACGAATTCCATGAAATTCCACAAAATTTGTTACCAGTTATAAGGAATGGAAAAACAAAATCATTCCACTTATTTCATTCATTCTACAAAAGAAAAATAAATCTTTTTGAAAAATCATTCCACTTTAAAAATACCAAGTAGTGAATGGAATGCAATTTTCATTCCATTCCACATTTTTTTATTCCACATAAATTTAATTTTTTTATTCCAATTTGTTATTACTAGGTACAGTCACCACCCGATACCAGCATCTTTGACGGGTGTTTCAGGCTGATGCGACTAATGTGTGTAGCCAAATATCCATATCAATAACACCTTGAGGCCCTGTTACATCAATCAAATGACCTAGACTTGACTATATGTTAAACCAAAAGGATGCCGAGAGCCCATTCTTGACCTCTACTCGGCACAAATCCTTTGTGTTATCCCAGAGTTTCAAGAGTTTCTTCCACATCTATGAACCTCGACTTGTACTCTCTTTGATCGACCATAAAGTATCTCCTTTGAGCAAATTTGTTTGTATCCAGTTTACCCAGATCAATGATTGATTAGATGCAACTCTCCATATTAGTTTTAATCAACAAACATCATTGACTTCTTTTAGAGGCCGCAGGCCTAGACCTCCATTTTGCTTAGGTTTGCACACTTTTTCCCACATAATCTTTGCCTTCATTGAGCTTAACTCAAGTCCTGGCCAAAGAAAATTCAAACACATTGTGTCTATTTTCCTTATACAGTCTTGTGGAAACGTAAATGCGGATAGCCAAAAGTTTGAGTTACTCTAGAGAACAAACCTTATCAAACTTAGTCTACCTGCAAATGATAAGAAACGAGCTATACATGCGGCAATTTTCTTATGAATCCTCTCCAACAGAAGTTTGTAGTAGTCTTTTGTTATTCATTTGGTGACTAGAGGGAGCCATAAGTATCACACATAAAGCTTTCAAGAGTCAAAGGAAAATGAGTCTCCATGTCACATCTTACATCATCTTTCATCCATGCCAAAAACATGGCCGATATTTCTATACTAATCCGAAAACTTTGTAATTTTTCAAATTCCTCCAAAACCTTTATTATTTCTTCCATTGATCTTACATTCCCATCATTATGTACAATAAGATCACCTGCAAAGCTGAGATGTGTAAGTCCGATGTTTCTACATTTTGGATAGTAGCCAAACTTATGAGTACGAGTGCCTATGTCCAAAAGATTCGAAAAAACATCTATGCTGATTACAAACAGATAGGTAGAAAGAGAGCATCCATAACGCAGACCTTTAGTACTGTAAAAAAATCTAGAAACTTCTGCATTCACCTGAACTGAGAAAGAAACTGTGGCAACATACTGATAACTTGCTATTTTAGATCATTTTAGGCAGTATTTCATGCATCTTTTCTTCTGTTTTTGCATTATAATTTAGCATTTAGGTACCATTTGCACTTAGAATCAACATAGCATGCATTTAGCTTAGGATTGCATACATTTGCATACATGTGCATGTTTGTGGTGCTTTTCAGGTGTTTTTGGAGTTTCTTGGAGCTAGGGAAGGAATGGAAGCAGCTCATGATCGCATGAGATGTCAGAAATGGAGTTCTTGCAAAGTCTGGTCCATATCGAGCAAGCATATTGAGCAGAACACCCGTGGAGTGTGCTCGATGCAAGCAGCAAGACGAGAGGAGAAGGATCAGCACGAGACATTCAAACCGTTGGTCTGCATCGAGGAAGGACGTCGATACACGCTGCACGGGCCATATCAAGGTCGCATATCGAGCACAACATCGACCGTACGACCTCGCTGCAACTCATCCGCGTTGATCATTTGACTTTTGTTAACCTTATCTTATCTTTTTAGGTTTTTATGCTTCTTTTGGCTCCCTACTATAAAAAGAAAGCCACAAACCATTATCTTTATTAAGTTCTATTTTATCAAAGTTTAGCTTTCTACAAAAAACCTTTCCTAAACCGTAAAGGGTGATATGCCTTAAGAACCTTGATCTTTAATAAACTTTGCATTTTTATGGTTTAATCTTGTCTTCTAATCTTTGTTCTTGCACCTTGGTAGTTTAGTTTTATCATCTTTGCATTTTAACCTCATCTAGTTATGTTTAACTCTAAATCAATGGGATTAAGCATGATTCGTGAGTAGTCTTCCTTAGATTTAGGGTTCTAAGTAGGGAAAGTGGTGATTAAGATGTGATTAAGGGGTGAGTAGGCTTGTTTAATGGCTCTCTGTTATCTCCTTCTCTTGCAAAGTGATTAATGTTGATAAAGCTTGCTCTTTTTGATTGAATATGGTTTGATAGGTGCACATGGTTCACTTGATGTCTTGATATCTCTTCTCTAAGCACAGTTCGCTTATATGGCTTGATAGTCTAGCTTGGTCTATGTTTCCTTTGTTCAGTGACACCAAAGTGATAGTTCACCTTGCTAGATGATTCACTTAGGGCTTGATAATGCTGGTTTTGAGATTCTTGACTTGATGGTTAGATAGTATGCATCAAAAGATCTTGCTTTTGCCTCATTCCTGTTCATTGGTTAGCTTTGTTAGGGTGTTGCAAGTTTGTGCTTAAATCCGTAGCTGCTTAGGTCGTTATTGATTCACAAGATTGATAAGTTGATCTGAATTCTTGCTTGGGTGAGAGAGTAGTTGCTTGATTGGTGCATCTCTTAGGCTAGAATGGTTCTGATCTGTATGCTCATGGTTGAAGGATACGCCATCACAAGTGAGTCTGACACTTCGATCTTGTTGAATATGAATTGCATATTGACGCCAAGTGATTCCCTTTAGATACCTTCTCTAAGAGCACAACATTGAGAATTGCTTGCTTGTTAATGCTTGTTGAATGCCTTAGAAAGAAATCCTCTTGTCACTCTTGAAAACCACAATCCTAAAATTGCTTAGAACTTTGAGTCTTGCCTTTAATTAATTGTCTTCAAAGTTATCTTTCTTAGTTCTTGCTTTAGTAGTCATTATCTTGCTTAGTTCTTGCTTTAGTAGTCATTATCTAGCTTAGTTCTTGTTTACTCATTGCTTTAAGTTAATTGTTCAGTTTTGTTCACTTGCATTTAGTTTATGCTTTTCTTTCATTGCACCACTAGGTTGTTAGACTTGCTCTCACATAATCAAACCCAATCTTGCTCAGCTTACAACATTTTTTGCATCTCATCTCCCACAATTAGATTGATACCTGATCTCTATTCTACAACTGATTAGAGGCAAAGGAAATTTGATCTAGTGACCAAAAACTGCTGTTTCAAATTAGCATTGTTGCCATTGTGGATTGTTTGAGTTTAACATTGCTGTTAGATTAAGTTCTTTACTTTAAAAGTTACTAATTTGCTCTGTTTTCTGTGGTCTGTTTTTTCAGGTACTTGTATGAATTTGAGGTCTAAAGGCTCATCAAATCTGACTCCTTTCATAAACGACATTCATAGGAGAAGAGCTGTAATACAGAGAGTTCAATAGTTAGAAGAACAGAGAGTGGCAGAGCAAGAAGCTCAGTTACCACATGTTGG